AAAAATTCCACAGTTTATCCATTTCTTTTTTACTTCATTCCATCATGTCCTATTCTTGAACACTGCCTGAGCAAGTCAATGCAGTTTTTTGGGCAAGTGGTTTTTCAGAAGTGGTTTGCCATTGCTCTCCTCCTAGGGCTGAGAGAAAATTGACTGGTTCAAGATCACTAATCTGGCTTTGAGCCAGATTACAAGAACAAACCAACTTTTGGACCCTTATGAACCTAAAACACAGATAAATGTCTTTGTTTCATTCACAAATTTTACCCATTATTCGTATTTAATGTCATTATCCTGGGACAGATAAATTTGTTTTATTCCTTTTTCCCAGCTATGTGGGGAAAAAAAAGTGGAGATGAAAGTCCAGCATTTTAACAGGGTCCTTTTTAATCATGGTGCTAAATTAAGATTTACCATGATGACTAATGCATGCATGAGTCAATTTTTTAGATCCCATGTAATTTTAAATTACAGAGATATGACCTTCAGATAAATAACTTACTTTGAAAGTATACTCCAAATGTTTATCAGATCTTTTCCTAGGTATTCCTTTCAGCATTATTTTCTGAATGTGTACAGCTGAAAATAAAGAAAACACAAATCAGTAATTCACAGTACTGTTTAAAATTTAATAGATCTTTGTCATTTATTTGGCCATCATGTCACTATTACTGGAAATTTAAATTTTAATAGAATTTCAAGAGATCAATGCTGGAAATTTAAATTTTAATAGAATTTCAAGAGATCAATGGGATATCAGTTTGTTTCTACACTTTGTTTTATAATAAATACCTTAATTATAATTACAATCCATAATTATCTTTAATTATGGATTATAAGCAACTGTGTAACTGCACTGAAGGTCTTCCCCCTCATTATTATCCATTCTGTGATTGCTTTGAGCAGTCCAAGTGTCTGAAACAAATCTGAGCATGTGAAATGAAAGACTTCTCATGTAAGACTGGATATAGCATAGAACTCTGTTACTAAATAGGTGTTGTCCCTGAAATAGTTAACATAGATTCAACAATGCAAACAAATACAAAGTACATAAATTATGCTTCTACTTCTGGCCTCCAAAAGGCTTAATGAAATGCTTAATGGTCAATAGTTATTATTGAATGTTCTCACTCATTTAATCAGGTACAAAAATTGGAGGAAACTACAAGTTTACCAGACATTAATTGAATACTTATCGCAGCTAGTTTGTAATAATATAAAATGATAAATGATTTTCCTAGAAGTCAAGCTTTTCAAGATATAAATATATTGAAATACCTTCTTGTTGTGGCCTGTGAGTGGCCACCATAAGTTTATCATGAACTGCTGCCCTTTGTTCAAGTAAACTGCTCTCACTTGTTGGCATGCAGTTATGGGAAAAGTTCTAAATTGAAGGAAAGAAAAATTACAGTGTTACATATACATGTCATCACTTTTAGAAATACAGAAAATCAAAATGCATTAACTCAAAAGTGTACTGCAATCTTAAAGTTTCAGGTATTTTTCACTCCCTACTTGCATTCCACAAAGTTAAGATGCTCTAGAGTAGGGGTGTCAAACTCACTGTGGTGTCACGTAATGTATCAGGACTTTTTCCCCCTTCGCTAAACCGGGCATGGGCGTGGCCAGCGCGTGAGGCATCTGGCCCACGGGCCGGGAGTTTGACAGCCCTCTCTAGAGGGATGCAGAAGAAACTAAAGGACAAAAACACTGTAATTTGGTTAATGTAGAACAAAGCAAAATATTTAACACTGGACATACTGAAGGATGTTTTTTGAACAATGAACTCAGAAATTAATTTTAAGAGCGTGTGCTTCTGTACATAGACTGATTAAAGGATGTTATAAAAGAGGAGCAAGTTATATCTGACAAGCCAGAGATTCTCTGAAAGTGGATTTAAAAATAGCAGGTTGTAAGAATGATATGGAAAAAGATACATTGGACATACAAAAGAAGCTGGCTAATGTCTTAATAATTAAAAAGAATATACAAACAACAAACCAAGAGAGTAACCTAGGTAATTTTCCTATATTCAAATTTTGTGAGAAGGGTCAAAGAAAAAAATGAAAAGAAATCAAGTGCTAGATGATTATTTGAAGGAACTAAAGATCAAGATTGTTCAAAGTGAAAGGAATATAAAGGTGACCAAAGTTAAAATCGATATGTTATCTCTGGTAACCCTTAATGCATTTCTGCTGATCAGGACTGAAATGATGAAATGTTAAGGATTTCTTTATAAGGTAAGATATGGGAATAAGAAATTATTTATGTTAAAAGAAAGTATAAGTTACTAAAATTGTTTAAACTTGTGATGAAGGGGGAAGTCATTTCTTCATATATTTTTTTTACATTTTTTTCTGCACTTTTGTTTCTTTTCTTTTTTTTTACACAAGAAGTATTAGTTTTATAATTATAATTTTAATAAAATTACATAAAAACATTTCCAAAAGACAGAAGAATCAACAATTAAAGCCCCTCGCCCTATTTCTGTTTTCATAACTCCAATCTTTAGTAGCCCAAGGATCTATTATCAGGTCTGGCAGGATTTGTAAAAGATTACTATTTGATACATTTGGAAGAGGCTTGACAAGGTCATGCAAAAGGCAAATGGCACTGAAAATTAGCAGCCAAGGACCAAGTGGTGAAGGGACATGCTCACAACCACCCCAAATAACCAAGTGAAGTTGGGCTCTACGTTTATTGTGATAGGAAGTGCAAAAGGTGGCATTATTAATTTTCTGTCCCCTCAATACAGGTGCTGAGACACCTCCAGATTTAAGTTAGTAGGTCATGGGAAAAGAGCTCACCAAACCACCTTTTACCTACCAATGGATTATGTTATTAATTACAGTAACCTAATCCTGTTTGTGCATTACTTTACAAACCTACTTTACAAACAGGTAAAATCAAAACCACAGGAGTTTTTAGAAAAGGATGAGAAACAGCATTTAGTTGACAATACTACTCAACTGGCCTTCCCCAAACAAGCTTCCTCTGCATATGACGTATTACAATTCCTCAGATAGCGTTGCTATTAACCGTGTTGGATGAGGAAGATGGAAACTGTGTTATCAGAGTAAAAGTGTGTTTGTGCCTTTATTACAGCAGGTAGAAGCAGCACAAAGATCCTTTCTGAAAAGGAGTATGGATTAAACAAGAGAAGGGCTGTCCCAAAGGTGCTTTTTTCAAGAGGCAACTGGACTTTCTGGTTTTTCTTTGAAAACGTTTTGCTTCTCATCCAAGAAGCTTATTGGATGGCCTTCAGGAGAGTTGAAGAAGCTTCTTGGATGAAAAGCGAAACGTTTTCACAGAAAAAGCAGAAAGTCCAGTTGCCTCTTGAAAAAAGCACCTTTGGGGCAACCATGACCTGGATGACTGAGAATCTCCATAGACAAGAGAAGGGCTGCAGAGCGGTGCGAATATGGGAAGGGATACCCCTTACCCGTGACCCACGGCAAGGGAAGGCCTCCACGTCGTCTTCATCCCGGCAGAGGGCTCTCCGCAACCGCTCCAAGTGCTCTCTGAACGTGACTCTCTGATGGAAAGAGAAGGCAGGGTGCAGAGAAGCCATGGTGAAAAGGAGCAAAAGCTCCTCTTGAGCCACCAGCCCCAGACCCTCCGCCGTCGCCGCCTCCGGTCCGGCTAAGGCGGCCGCCGCCTCCTCTTCCTCCTCTTCCTCTTCCCCTCGTTTTCTTCCCGGGCGCAAGGGCCCAAGCGACCGACAGCTCTGCAAGATGGCATCCACATGGGGCAGCAGGCGATGCAGGCGGCTGGCAGCCTCGCGGTTCTCGGATCCCAAGAGGGCCAAATAGACGATGAGCTTGGAGCGGACCGCAGGGTCGCGGAAGTCGCTGCCGCCCAACGCCAGGAGAGGAGTCGACGGAGGCGGGGAGCCGGCGGTCGCAGCCCCGGGAGGAGAAGCCGGGGGTGGCGGCGCCGTCAGCAGCTGCGTTGGCGGCGGCTGCTGCTGCTCTCGGCTGCCCCCGGCTGCCGCGGAATTGCTTCCCGCCGGGGCAGCGTCGGCGGTTCCAGAAGCGGCGCCCCCGGCCCCGTTAGCTTTGGCCTCCGAGTCCCTCAAGCAATGGTAGTCCTTTCGGGCCAGCTCCTCCAGGCACGAGCCGAGGAAACGCAACTCCAGCGGGTTGAGCAAGTCGAGCAGCCCGACGGCGAACTCCAGCCGCTGAGCCGAGCCCAAAGCCAGGCCGAACCATTCGTAGACGGCTTCGCGGGCCCCATCGGCCGAGCAGCCGCAAAGGCAGCGGAGACCCGCCGAAGAGCCGCCGGAGCCCGGAGCCACCATCGCCCCGGATCCAGCTTCACTGCGAGGCGGGTGATTAGTTAGGCCTCCGCCCCCGCAGCTGCCGTGGGGCCTCAGTGGGATTCCGGCGGCCGCTCCCGCGTCTTCTTCCTCCGCCCTTTTACGGCTCATCGTTTGCCGTTGCTGCGGCTGCTGCTTCGCCGGCAGCTTCATCTTCAGCATCCTCGAGACGGAGGAGGACGGGAAAGGGCGTGAATTGGGCGGGCTCAGCGCCGCCGCCGCCGCCGCCGCCGTGTTGGTAGTCAAGAGCCGCCGCCGCCGCCGCCGCCGTTCATCTCCTTCCCCTCCCGCCGCCCTTCAGAGAGGAAACCCTGATTCGAGCTGAGGAAGGGCGGCGGGAGTGGTGGGGGGGCTTTGCAACGGCGCTGGCTGGAAAGGAGGCAATGACGACAATGGCGGCCGCTGTTCCTGTCAGCCGCTGAAGCAGCGCGTGAAGACCTGGCGGGCGGGGTTAGCGAGCGAAAGGGAGAACGGCCCGGATTGCGCAAGTCACCCCTTGTCGCTTTACGATAATTCTCTTTTTGAACCCCAGCGAAGAAAAAAGTGTGAAGGGAGGAGGAGGGGCGGGGAAGGAACCGGGAGAGTTCAACGGAGTAGGGAGGGGGGAAGAGAAAAATCGGCGAACAAGGCAAAGAGAAGACGAAATCGAAGTGGAACATTCCGCGACAGCCAATCGGGGGCGAGTTCGCCAATGGCGTCACTACGCGTAGTTCTGAGATCCTTCGGGAGGTCTCACGGCCTTGGCGGTGAGCGTCCCGCCGAGGTCCAGCAAAGCGCTGGACGGTCTAATCGTCTCCTTTTCGTAATCGGCTGTGGGTAATGTGTGCAGCCTATATTTGTATCCATCGTATGATTAGAGAAATAAGTTTCGTATTTCAGCGGTGTATTATGGAGGCTGCGATGCTATTCCTATTTACTGGGAGCTTAACCCAGTGACTCAGTCGATTTATTGAATTTATATCATATTTTTCCTCCAAAGTCTCAAGGTAGCGTATAAAGCCATTGCTTCTCCCATTCTTCCACATAACAATATTCCTAGGAAGTTAGTCTGAGAAATAACACTCTTGAATATGGATTCTATGCTATTTCAATACTCTTGTAATTTTGAATCTCTGGATGGATAAGCTTAATACTATAACCGAGTTTCGTTTTCTATCACCGTAAAAAATGGTTCATAAAATCGTGGATTTACAAGAAATACATATATGCCATAAATTCTTCATTGCAAATGCATATTTTTATTAAATTTCTATGTTACCCATCTCACTGATACAGCAACACTGGCCAAATCTTAAACGCGTTAGTAAGCACATACTCTATAATCCAGTGACTAGTAGAATATGGCTGGATTTACAGCTCATTTACCAAAATGTGGTTTTGTACCTCAACATGTGTAAATTTTCTCAATATACAGTTATGGTTTAATAACTTGTATTAATCTAAGTTGGATTAATTCAATCAGTCATGTTTCAATTAATCATGGGTTAGCTGATTATACAAACCACTAATCAGTTTAAGCATGGTAATAGCCATGTTTACATGGAACAGCTAGAATTCTGCAAAGATATACCCCCAAACCCTAGGGTAGCACAAAAACCACCCCCAAATTTGGTTAGCATTCATCATCCCACAATATCTAATTTAGACAATATACTGAAACCATTTCTAATTTGAGTATGTAGGTTAGAGAAGCATTTTCCTGCTGCTGCCATACAGATCAGTGCGATAATAATTCCCTAAATTGTTTAGGCAGCATTATTCCTAGAAAGTTACTGCATCAGAGAACAAAAAGATTGTTCCTTTTCATTTGTTAATTATGCTTCCCACATGTAAAATCTCTTCAGGGCTTGCTGTGGTTTCATAATGTGCTAAGCTAATAACGGTTAAATTCACAATACGCTAAACATAAACAAGCAAATAATCTGGCCCAGTGTGTTGTCTGAAACTAGTCATTAATAGCATGCAGACACATGCTAATAGTTAAATTAACCATGATTTAATTATGCAAGCTGGGTTCACCATCACACTGAATTATAAACTAGTCAAACAGGTGCTATATACATCCAGCTTAAATCTTACAATACACATGCTTTAACCATCACCCACCCCACCCCATAAAAAATCATTGATGAGAGGGGTGGAATAATTGCAAAATGCCATTTGGTTCTTAGCTAAATAAATTATTCATCTAAAACAGTGTTTCTCAAATTTATCAACTTTTAACTATAAACTTCCAACCCAGAATTCCCCAGCCAGCACGATGGCTGGAGAATTCTGGTAGTTGAAGTATACATCTTAAAGTTGGTGAAGTTGAGAAGGATTGATCTAAAGCAGGGGTGTCAAATTCGCATCACGGCATCGTCATGTGACGTATCAGGACTTTTTCCCCCTTTGCTAAACAGGGTGTGGGCATGGCCAGCACATGATGCATCTGGCCCATTTATTATAGGTCACAAAATCAAATTGTTACCAGAAGGCCTGGAGTGAAAGATGTGATCTAGTTCTAAGTTTCCCCAAGAATCAGCTAATTAGAGCACAAATGACAGCCAACGGCCTGAGGTGGCATGTGCCTCCAAGCCTCTTTTCTGAAATTTCCTAAATTCCTTTGAGTAGGAGTGTTGAAAATTGGCAGCACTTTTGCTTGACGAGAAACATACAAAAACTGTCACATAAGCCCCAAATAGACAATGCTGCATATTCTCCACTAATTCTTCCTGTAAGGAAGAAACAAAAATGAAAAACCTGGCCACATCCATTGGCTTGATACTGGTCTACCCGTTTTGCATTGTAATCTCATGCACTCTGGTCCACAGAAAATGTGGTGCTTTTTTGTCAAAAAAAAAATTGCAATTTTGTCAAAATAATAACAGATTGAGGCAGCAATAAAATATATGCAAATATCAATGAGAAATAAATCAAGCTGTGAATTAAAATTCATCCCCCACTGAGCACTGTTTGCTCAGGAAAAATGTGAGTAAATCAATTGGAAGAACATTCCAGAATTAGACATCAAAAAACTAGGGTGCCAGAAGTGAAAACTAGTAGATTCAGTAAAACTGCAGTAAGTCTTGGTAAACTGCAGGGATATTAGATTATAACCAGAGAACTCTGGGAATAGTTAACTCTGACATAAAGAAACTAAACAGAACTGAATGAGAAAAGTCATTAGGAAATGGGAGGAGAACTTAATAGAGAAGGAGAAATGAAAGTTAACTTGCTTTGCTGACTGTGAAATGAAAGCAAAACCTAGAGCTATTTCTAAAGCTGTGAGTGCTTGCTCTGCAGCTTGACTTTCTACCAGCAGAAGAAAGAGGTGAAAAAGTATTTACAATCAGCTTGAGTATGTGGGAAGCCCCCACTAGAAGAATGAAATATTTTGAAGAATATTAAAAAGGCATAATACTATATTTCCCCAAAGGGAGGAATGGAGAAACATGTTTTTAGAGGCAGAAAGCAGCCCCTACTTTTCTTAATAGCCCACAGCAGATGTCAGATAAAGAGCTTATTGAAAGAAGTCAACTATATAGATAGCTCTATTTATAAGCAAAGCAAACACTGCAGGGAGAAATCCATTCAAGATAGGATATTTTGAAACTGCTTGCAGCAAAGTTTGACAGCAGAGTGATATGACTAGAAGCAGCCCCTCACCCAAGATCCAACACAGGACGAAAGCCAATTAGCCACAATAGGAATTGCCCAACACCCTTTCAGAACACAAGCCCCTTCATTGCAGTCCAAACTTCAAAGAAACCTGGAGCTCAGATAAACAATAAACCAGAGGTTGACCAGATTAGCTCAAATAAACACCTAAGATTTGCATTTCCTCTTTTGCCTATAGAGCCAGCTATGACCCCTACATGACCCCGTAGGAATCTGACAATAGCCAATAGAATATTAAAGGACATGTTCTTGCACAGGAACATGAAGCTCAAATACAAAGCCCAAAGAAGGTATAATCCTCCCCCCACTCTCAACTCCATTTTGTCAGCTGCACCAGAACCATAAATGGTGGTTCTGCTTCATCATTAAACCATCTTTTCAATCAGCCTCCTTGTTTCAAGTGTCTTTCTCCCAGCTTGGAACTGAACCAGGTGGATATTTCTTTCCAGCAAGTATATTCATTTGGAAATTAATTCTGATCATGCAGATTGCTAGGGCTTTAGATCATGGTAGCCTTTTTCATGGTATAACTCAGACATAAGCGCCACTATGCTTATAGCCTATGGAGTGCAATAAATTATTGTTGTGATTACACCAAGCGTTTGTAAGCAGGAATGTTGTAAGCTAATAGCTAAGTAGTTAAAAATATAGCAGATAAAAGAATTTAAATATTCACTCTTCTCAGCTAAGTCAGGGTGGTGGGAAAGCTGAAACTGGTCTGTGGTTTTGGAGGGAGGCTGGCATATAATGGTAACGAAAAGTGGAAGTCTGATCAGACTTACAAACTAATTATGCTTTTACAATACCCATATGTCTGTGTGTCCGTGTCTTTGAGTCATTGTTGATTCTTGGCTACTGCCTGGGCAAGTCTTTGTAGTTTTCTTGGGAAGAATTCAGAAATGGTAATATTGTTAAAACCCTAACCCTTCTTCCTAATGACAAGATGATAACCTCCTTAGCTTAAGCCATGATGTTTTTCCAGATACATATCAACTAGTTTAGCTAAACTAGTTGGAGTGAAAAGAAGGCAACGAAAAGCCGTTATAGTAGTGTCTTTCAAGCAAATTAACATTTGCTTGAAAGTAAGTCTCAAACTTACTTCTGGAACTGATATCTACATTTTTGTTTTGCTCTTGTACGACTCAGGAAGATGCAGGATGAGTTCATGTGTGAATAAGCCATATGAGGCAGTTTGCTTGGCTTTGGTTTAGTCTCTAGTATGTGAAAGAGACCAAAAAATTGGTGAAGTAGTTCAAAGTGCCAGACTAGGCTAAACCTTAACTTCTAATCCTGCTTTGGGCACAAAGTCAGCCATCTGACCTTGGGTCAGTCTCTCTGTGTCAGCTCTAGGAAGCAGGCAGTGGCAAACCATTTCTCAAATCTTGCCAAGAAAGGATCAAGGTAAATGTTAAGGTTCCCCTCGCACATACGTGCTAGTTGTTCCCGACTCTAGGGTGTGGTGCTCATCTCCGTTTCTAAGCCGAAGAGGCAGCGCTGTCTGATGGCAATTCTGTGGTCATGTGGCTGGCATGACTAAACGCCAAAGGTGCACAGAACGCTGTTACTTTCCCACCAAGGCGCTCCCTATTTTTCTACTTGCATTTTTACATGCTTTTGAACTGCTAGGTTGGCAGAAACTAGGACAAGTAACGGGAGCTCACTCCGTTATGAGGTGCTAGGAATTTGAACCGCCGAACTGCCGACTTTCTGATCGAGAAGCTCAGCGTCTTAGCCACTGAGCCACTGCATCCCCTTGACACAGTGAAAGGGATTAGAAAGAAAGGGATTAGTTCAGGCTATAGTCAGGAATTAACACTGAGATAAAGTCAACTCCTCCCGAAGAATACTAGGTGAACTAAAGCTGTTATGCTTTATAAGGTTTAGTAAATAGTTTAGCAAATTGTGCAAGGTTGGCCAATTATGGCTTACTTCGAAGACCTGGTTAAATTACATTTTAGCATCCAGTTTGAGAGATGAAATACAGTTGAGAAGGGTTTAAAATTAAGTGAAGAGAAGGCAAAGAAGCAAAAAGCTTATAAGTATAGATATTAAATGCCCATTATATATTACAATATGGTATTATGACATACACCTTGGTTATGAAAAAAAAGTCATGTGCTGGATGTCGTGCCCTGCTTTATAAATACGGGTTTGCAGTTTTAACTACCTGTGCTCTGATCTGTGTGGTTTGTTAATTCAGCATTAGGTTATTTCATGTCTGGCTTTAAAGTATGTAGTGAAATATATTGTGTTGTCTACCCAAAAATATAGCAAGGTCCTTAGTTATATTGGCTACAAGGAAGCTCCCATGACTGGCTTTGTTGATATTAGGATTCCTTAGATACGGTAACCAGATGTTATTCTATTGGGTTTGAACTGTCTAGAGAGAATTGAAATCACATTAGTTTCTTTCAATAAGGACAAAACCAGTCATGGGCGCCTCCTTCTGGTCAATGTAGCCGAAAATACCACTTCCGATACATACTGTGTATAAATAGAGAAATGATTCCCTCCACCCCCAAGAGTTAAGTGGATATGTAGAAGCTGCATATGGGTGGACACAATGCAACATGTGTATCTCTCCACTCTTGAGACTTTAACAGTAGGGGGACTCTATATAGCATTCCTTAAGTAGACCATTAGGGGATGCTCCATACTGCAGTCAGACTAGCCTATAACTTGGCTCTTTTACTGATCCTTTCTAAGTACTGAAGAGGGAGGAAGTTGGTGAAATTTAGGAGATATTCAATCAGCTTGTTTTTAGGTAACCAGAACAGACAATACTTGGGTTTTTTCACTAGAAAAAAGAATCAGGAACAAACAAATCTGCTATTATGAGCAGTAGAATACTGTACTGTCTATTGTGATGGATGGAAATACAATCCATTGCTTGTATTAGTCTAAATTAGAAAAAGTGTATGTTTTCTTCACTTTCCTAGTATATTCCTTTCTTATATTCTGCTTTGCCATTAACTTCATCAAAAATTGCTGGTGAAATAACCATTATTTCAGAACTGTCATTACAAATTATAAAACTTGAAAGATGGTATGAACTTTGTTGCTATGTTTATGTTGCCTTTCTAAGTTTCCAATATAAAACTCCTTCTTTTAAAGAACAAACTGTTAAAAATGAAAACTTTAAGTTTGCTTATTTGTGTTAGTCGTGCAAGTACATAATATTGGGTGTTTAATATATATTTTTCAAATCAATACCCTTTTCACACAAAGTTGAGTCATTCCCCATGTTGAATCTGTGTTTCTGTTGTCTGTTACCTCTTATGTTGTCTCTATGTGTGTTTGTGTGCATGTGCATCGGGTGGGATTCAGCTGGTTCGAACCAGTTCTGATGAACCGGATGCTAATTTTACATCTGGTTCGCCAAACCGGTAGTTGCAAGGACTGGCTGGCCCTGCCCACCCCGCCCCTCCCAGGAGTCTCCACACGGCCCGTTTTGGATGCCAGGTAAGTGCAGGGCCCGCATGGAGGCTCTGTGAGGACGAAAAATGGGCATTTTTCCTGAAATCTGGTGATGGGCCCATTTCTGGTGTCTGGAGGGCCTCTGGAGCCCGAGGGAGGCCATTTTTGCCCTCTCGGAGCCTCGAGGAAAGCCTCTGGAGCCTGGGGAGGGCAAAAACGCCTCCTCCACCATAGTGCAGGAGGCCAAGTAAGCCATGCCCACCATGGCCACACCCACCCAGCAACCGGGCAGAGAACCGGTTGCTAACATTTTTGAATCCCACCCCTGATGCGCATGTGTGTACGTGCTTTGGGTGAATACAAGGAGTCAACTTTCTGGTTCTGAGGACTACTATTGGAAATTGCCAATGTGCACACATCACACATTCTTGCAACTCACATGTTGCAAAGGTGAGCAAGGTCACAGGATGGCCTGATCTCTCCTCTCCTCCCAGTGATCCTTCTACAATTGCTGCTTTTACAGCTGGAAACACCCATCTTGAGTAGGACAGGAACAGATGGGAACAAATCTGATCACAGCAAACTATTGATAATTTGTTTACATTTGTGTATTATTCATGCCTGAAATAAAGATGACCATTCCTTCAGGGTGTAAGTATTCCCCTTTATTAATATACTCTGGTAATATTTTGTTTCAGTGTGGTGTAATGGGTTAATGGCGATTTAATGACCATGGCGGAAGTGAGGTAAGTCTGTTGTTACACTAAGGATTTTTGATACAGATGTGTGATACATGATATATTCCCAAAACATTCTATTAATTTTTCTTTTTCACTCATTATTGTTTATATGTTCTTGTGAATTGTGTGTAGGATACATATTTGGTGGTTCTTCATTTGCTTTCATTTAACTGTAGGAATAGTTGGCTCGCAATAACTTATTAGGAATTTGATTGCCAACGTACTGCAGTAAATAAACATACGTTTTTGTTTTGCAACCTACACTCCATTTAACAATAAAAAAAAATTGGAATATGACATTTAGCTTCTGCCACAAAAGCAATACTATAGTTGGCCCATAACACATTCTTGCATTATAAACATGAGCAATAAAGCACATGTGGCCTTTCAAACACCTACTTCTTCAGTAGTTATTGCATTAGGCATTTGTGTCTGGCACACAACAGAGATATAACACATACTGCTGTAGAACAAACAATAGGGTTCAGTGTCCTAGAAATTCAAGGTATTTCAGCTTGTAGCTTCCCTAATGTGAGCTGAGGACTACATACATTTTTGAAAGGCAAGTGTGTGATGGGAGAGTAAGGGTGAGAAGGATGTGAGGCCTGGTGGGGTGGGAAGAGGCCTAACTCCTGTGGAGACATGGGGGAGGAAGCAGACCCAAGGTTTGCAGAGTCCCCGAGGGCTGGGAAGCAGAGCATGGGGTGCCTTGGGATAGGTGGGGAGGCCATGGGAGATATGGGCCAGGTAGTTCTGAATCTTCATTAGGCCTACCATGGCCTCTCCCAGCCAAGGCACCCTGTGCTTAATGACCACACTGTGGAGAACAGAGATGGGGGTTATTAAGATGATCATGTGATCACCTCACTTAACATAAACCCTGACTAGGTGGCTCAGTGGCTAAGACACTGAGCTTGTTGATCAGAAAGATTGGCAGCTTGGTGGTTCGAATCCCTAGTAAAGGTCTCCTGCGTGAGCAGGGGGTTGGACTAGATGACCTCCAAGGTCCCTTCCAAGTCTGTTACTGTTACTCTCACTTTGTCATAGATTCTTTTAAGTATACCCAAGTCAGTGGGCTCCAAAACACAAGAGAGCCAACACAACAACATAGGTTCCTAGGCAACACACACAACCATCCACAATCTAGTACTCACTGTTCGTCACCACTTAACTTTTCCCCACCACCATACGTCCTACTACTGCTCTTCCAACTTCTCTTTGTGAGTCCAACTACTGGAGAAGTTTTATCTGCTTGAGGTTGCTTTATTTCCACACAAGAATACACACCTGCTTCCCTATCCTCAACGCTCTCAGTTGTCTCTCCACACAGCTTTTGTAGCCAAGGTTTCTGTGCTGCTTGAGAGAGGGTTTAAAGAGGCAAGGCAACAGCTGCCCAGGTGTTGGCCATTTTCTAGGCAGCCTGCCCTCTCACAACCATCATGGCTTGCAAGCCTAATGGTCAGGCTTCAATATGGTCATGTCAAGGATTACCTGTAATTCTTCAGGCCTTCCCCCCACCAAGCCTTGATTTGCTGCCAAATCAAGATTTACACAAATGCGTTTAAAATGTTTTAAGAACATATACTCTTAGTAAATGAAAATAGTCTTACATATCAACTTAATATTTATTTAGTGCACCAAAATGCACCTCATCTTTGTATCATTCATATGAATCTGATCTCATATCTAGTGCAACATTAAATTCTGTAATATCTTTCTGAGTGCCACTGAACAACTTTATCCTGATTTTTAATACTCAAGTTCAAATGAATGCTTTAGGTCAATTATGAAGCTAATTTCTTCGAGGATACATTTTTGAAAATTATTCCTAATTTTCCACATAATCACTTCAATATTATAATGCCAGTGTGATCTCAGATTTCCTACCATTTATATCTTGTGAATGTGATTCATAAAAATCTCCCGTGGCAACAATAAATAGAGTCTGCTACTGTCTATTATTCTCCAGTGAAGCATCTGCCCAACACATCTATTTGTAAAAGATGAGTCCACAAAAGAGTATATGTTTGACAAAGGTGTGAATAAAACATGCATTGTATCAGGGAACACTCTTGAGAGTTCTTTGGACTGCACTGCAAAATCAAATCAGTCAATCCCAAAGCAAATCGATACCGATTCTTTTTTGGAAGGACAGATACTGAAGCTGAAGCACAAATACCTTGGCCACAGAATGAGAAGAGAGGATTCATTAGAAAAGATCCTGATGTTGGGAAAGATGGAAGGCAAAAGGAGAAACGGATGGCAGAGGATGAGATAGCTAGTGTCATTGACAAAATGAACATGAATTTGGGCAAACTCCAGGAAACAGCGGAGATGAGGAGGCCTGATATGCTATGGTCCATAGATCACGAAGTGTCGGACACGAATTAGCAACTGAACAACATCAGGGAATTTTCTTTTAAAATTGCATTGAGGAAATTAAACGTTTCCTAGAGATTTCACTAAAAATAGACATTGGAAAAACCCATGTTAAAATCCACATATGTAATAATATTGGTAGAAAAAATTCATTATAATAACAGAAAATAGCAGACAACAAATGGAAAGAGATTTAAGACTGAAAAGAAAATCCATTAAAAAAAAAACCCCTCTCATAGATCATAATAGTGTCTCAAAGATTAACATAGAACACACATAGATCCCAAAAGCAGGTAATAGGAACACACTGAAGAACTGCCGATTTTTGGAATAGTTATTTCTAACCTAGGTAGCCCATCTGACCTAATATAACAGCACATTCCAATGTTTATCTTGATTATTATAAAGATGATTTACAGGTAGATCTTGACTTGCAATCATTTGTTTACTGACTGCTTAAAGCTACAATGGCAGTGAAAAAAAATGACTTAATGACCATTTTTCATGCAACCTTTGAAACATCCCATGGTCACATGATTAAAATTCAGATGCTTGGCAACTGGAATGTATGGCAGTTGCAGTGTCCTGGGGTCATGTGATCACCTTTTGAAACCTGACAAAATCAATGGGGAAGCCAGATTCACTTAACAACTGTGTTAGTAACATAACCGCAGTGATTCACTTAACAACCATGGCAAGAAAGTTTGTAAAATGGCGCAAAACTCACTTAACTGTTTTGCTTAGCAAAGGAAATTTTGGGCTCAATTGTGGTCATAAGTCGAGGACTACCTGTATACATTTTGCTTATGTATTACAAAAACACTAACACTGCTTATATGGTATGTGTTCAACTTCAGTACTTACTGAATTCTGGATACTGGATTCCAATGGGACACTATATGTATTTTGGGGGGGGGGGTGTTGTATATATTTAACATTAGAACCATTATGTTTAACATTTTATTCTGTATCATGGAATAGATTTTTTGATCTGTCCTCACAACACAATATGCTTGTAGTACACAGTAAATGATAGTATCCTCAAATCTATTTTATACCTTTTTCTTTCCTCCAAGATTGAAAAGAAATTACGTACAAAACACAGACCTCACTATGTATGAATCTGTACCCTTTATTCAAGATTTCATTCATTTCTTTTCATTCCATATTCCTAATAAATGAAGTCTAATTTCCACTCAAAATTAGAGAAATAGCAGAATGACATTGTGCCATATTTGCGTCAGTCTGTTCCGTTACTCTTACTCTTACCCATAGGTGTTAATTCAATAAAAGCAGTCCTCGACTTACATTGATTTGTATAATGACCATTTGAAATTACGCCACTGCTGAAAAAAGTGATTTACAATTGATCCTCACATGACAAAGTACCAGTGGTCATGTGAGCAAAATTTGAGTGCTTGGCAACCAGCATGTATTTATAATAGTTGCAGCATCCCAGGGTCACATGATCACCATTTGCAAACCTCCCAGCCTGCTTCCGACAAGCAAAGTCAACAGAGGAAGTCAGATTTGTTTAACGGCCATGGTGATTCTCTTTAACAACAGCAACGAAAGGTTCATAAAGTTGAACATGGCTCATTTAATAACCATCTCCCTTAGCAACAGAAGTTCTGGGCTGAATTGTGGTCTTAAGTCAAGGGATACTTGTAGATGAAAAAGATGAAAAGTTGCAAATAAAGCCGGGGGAAAGCTGAACTTTTGACTCTTTGGTACTTCATCCATCAAAGTTGTTGGAGTAATTACTAGCCACCCACAGGTTTTGGAAATATTGAGATAATACACAGCTAGTGAGTTTTAAAGGGACAGCTGGTAAAATATTAGTGTTTTGTTTTTTTTCAAAATTAGAATTTTAGCAAATAAAACTATTATAAACATTGCCTAAAAACTGACTTCATTTCATAAAATTATTACTGTAGTTTTACACATTTTAAAAGATACACTGCATACAGCATGTCATTAATGTCAAGAGATGTCCCTTGAAGCTTTGGAGCCTTAGTATGCCAGCATCAATACAGAACAATATAATTTCAGTCTCAATACAATCCAAAGGACTGTATTCCATGCCTCAGATATGGATTAAGGTCATTTGATATTAAATGAACCAGTCAGCTTTTCTGTGTATACCAGGGGTGTCAAACTCGATTTTATTGAGAGCCGTATCAGGGTTGTGTTTGACCTGGGGAGGGGCTGGGGGCATGGCCAGCTCAATGTCACTCATGTTGGGGGTGCCTGTGGTGGCCCAAGCGCTCTGCCAGCGAAAACAGGCTTCTGAGGTCCATTTTTAGCTGTAACAGCTTCCTGCAACCCTCTGTCAGTAAAAATGGAGCTCGGGAGGGCCGCATATAATTTTGCAAACTCTGTTTTCAGGTACAACAGCCTCCTCCAACCCCCTGCCAGCACTGGCAGAGGCACTGCGGGCCACTCCTTTGCTGTTTCCAGATCAGCCCTGCGGGCCAGATCTAAGCAACCCGTCGGCCAGATCCGGCCCACAGGCCTTGAATTTGACACTACTGGTGTATACTGCACTGCAAGTTGCTCAGCCACTCCATGACTGGGAACAATGCTAATGCTGGATTGTTGTTAAGTTACGTATCTAAAATAGACAGGCCCATCTTCCCTGCCTTGAGAAAAAGTGCTCATGAGCAGTCAGTCTTTTTTCACACCATTAATGAGAACATGGGGGGAAGAAGTTGTGGGCACACACAAAGTGTTAAATGTTATTGTTTTAATTTGGGATCGCGGGCTTCATAGCAATTGAAACAGTGAATGATGGGGTTGTTCTATAAGCACAACTCCAATTTCCTACATAATTTCCTTCAGTGGCAAACTTTTAAAAAAGTACGACACAACCCAGTAGGAGTGTAGGGTGACATGAAGCTAGTTCTTAACTGGGACTGAGAGAAATTCCAATTTTCTTTTGAAAAATTTAAGTTCATGGACAAATGTTTAAGTGATGAATATGAAATATTTTAAATGAACAAAAGACAGGCAGAAATCTTATCTGCAACATGAGGATAGACAAAACTAAGTTATGTTTTTACTGAACTTTCATCTGTATTTTCTACAGTAAAGATTAAGGCAGCTGTGTTAACGTTACCACTGTACACAAACAGAAGCTACCATTCTAAAAACAAATTCTATGGATGAGTCTTAAGCAGCATGTGTCAATTCCACAGGAACAGAATCCTTGGTATCTGGAAGAACAGCAGTGACACAACGCATCTCATCTCTGAATCCCAAAACACAACCCTTTTCTTGGAAAACCAAAATATTCCACGTAACATTAATAGTATTCAACTTTCTCCTCTACCATTTTTATATTGGAGCAAAGAACCCCCTTGTAAACCAGCAGTCGGCAATCTGACATCTCAGCAACCGACAGAAGGCTTCCTTTGCTTAATTAGCGCTATCCACATCTGTTCCAGATCACGTTCAGTGAATGGTAGTTGTGTCAGTTCTTTTGACTGAATACCAATAACAAGCATTAGTCTGCATCAATACACCATGTCCTTTAAGAATATCCTGGCTTCCCTTCCTCTTGTATAGGCTGTGAGCCTTCGTGAGAGTGGTGCTTCTTCTGGCTTTCACAATTTTCTTCTTGACCAATAGGCCCAAAAGTCCTCTTGTATCCTTCTGTGGTGCTTTGAGGTTCTCCAGATTCCATGCTGTGATATGTATTGATTTCAGCACATTTTTCTTTATACTGGTCAGCATTGCCTGCAAATGTCTCACAGCGGTTTAAGTTTTCCTCTTGCACTGGGTTCCCCAGGCTGTCGTCACTTGATCCAGGAGACATTGACCCTTCCTGGGAGTTCTGACTAACATAGACAAAAATAATTTCACCCTTAAAATTCATGACTTGTCCACTTGAAATGAATGTAGAGTTCCCGTTTCCTGTCACATTTCCTAAAAGGGGTCAAAGCAGAGGGAAATAGGTGCAGACATAATTAATATGACAGTAAGAGCTGCAACTAGTCAATATTCCAAGAAAGGATACAGTTTTTGCAAAAATAAAAATTGGTATCCCAAGCCAACATCAACTGGAGATAAAATACTGTCTTCATAAACCTTGTTTGCATTTCTGAAAAAAAATTATCATTCAAGTTACTTAGCAGATTAATGGGGATACTCTTTGAAAATAGCCAAAACGGGACATTTTAAACATATACTCAGATAATAAGTACTATAAATAAATAAAAATAAATACAGCACTACCTGTATGTGGCACTGTATCACTACCAAAGCACCTAATCAGAATTAAGATATTGGCAGTATATTGCAGGTTTGCACATTCTACCAATTAGCATTTTGGCATCAGGTTTGCATAAATTGCACTTGAGCCATAATATGCTTAATTTAGTTTTAGTTTAACATGTGATGTGAACCCTGCAAGCAAATTAAAGTTTATGTTGGTTTGTTGTATAAGTTCAGGTAATTGTAATTTAGCTAGTTATCCATGGCTTAATACAATGGCTTATGTTTGGATTGGATAATTTATAATATAATTAGATTCTATTTTATTCCCATGATGACAAACATTAAGAGCAGAACACAGGATAGATACAATATGCTAAGTCCTATAGTATTTTGTTTTGTCTTAATTTAGTATATTATATGTGTGTATTCAACATATTGATTAAAGAAATGTATCAGTGTGTTTATTTGTTTATCTTAGAAAAGAGGATTATTGCTGGGGAACACTTGAGCACCCTGATCATCTAAACACTATTAAGGCATCAATTAGTTTTACATTTCTGCACCATACTCTAATCCAGAGGTCTTCAAACTTGCAACTTTAAGACTTGTGGACTTCAATTCCCAGAATTCTCCAGCCAGCATAGCTATAGCTATGGAGCTATAGCTGGAGCTATAGCTATGCTGGCTGGAGAATTCTGGGAATTGAAGTCCACAAATCTTAAAGTTGCCAAGTTTGAAAATCTCTGCTCTAATCCTATGTCAGAAAAAAACTTATGAACAATTCTTCCCCTGCTTCTTGCTGAAGTGTACATTTCTATTATCTGAAGAAAAAAGGAGGTGACGCCCATATTTTAAAAAGACAGAAAACATTTTACAACATTTTCCAAGGCAATCTCTTAGGGAAACATTTACTTTTCATGTGAGAAATAGGGGCACTGCTATGATTTTTCTCATCAACTTTTGATTAATAATTTAGAGTGGTGCAAAAACAGATAAATCCTGATCCAAAATAACTAGGAACTGAAGTAGAGGAACAAGGATGAGAAGAGTTATGTTGCTAAGGAATTAATTACCAGAAGAGGAAAATTTTTGAAAATGCAACATAATTTCCAGGCCTCATCCAATATTTGTGAATGTTGTGTTCACTGCATGAATGTCTCGCCCATCTGTTCTTGAGATTCCTCCAAACATTTGAATTAAATTTGGAGAGTCTGCAGAGATTAAAAAGGGAAGGGTATTCTCTTCTACTGATAGATCCCACTGAATGCAATGCTTGGAAAGCACTGAGATTGACTCTGCAAGTGGTCCTTGTTTAATGCATATTTGTTCAGTGATTGAAGTTACATTGGTGCTGAACAATGTTACCTTATGACTAGTCTTCGTACTTACATCAATTGCTGTGTTCCCATGATCATATGGTTGTGCTTAGTGCCTGGCTCACAATTACAAGAAAAGTTAATGGGGAAGCCACCAGGAAGTCCCAAATGGCAACCATGTGATTCCTCATTTAACAACCATGTGATTTCACTTAACAACAGCAGCTAGAAGTGCCAGAATTTCCATTGCTAAATCATGTGGCATAGTTCTTGACCACTGCATCACTTAGCAATGGAAATTCTGGTCCCAATTACCCTCATTTTATAGGTCAAAGACTTGTAAGTACGTATGTTGATAATTAGCTCTTGTTTAGTCTTCTGGATCTCATCCTTTGTTTCTAGGTGCAATTTCAAGATGCTGGTTTTACCTATAAAGCCCTACATGGCATATAGCCTGGTTTATTGAGCAACCACCTGTCTCTTATAACTGGGGTCCCCAACCCCCGAGCCGCAGCCTACTACCGGGCCATGGCCTGTTCGAAACCGGGCCTCGGGAGAGATGGGCAAGTGTGAGTGGAGCTTCACGTGCAAACTGAAGTGCCCTCTGGTCATGTGAGTGGAGCTTCGCGCACGAGCCAAGTGCCTGACACTCATGCAAGTTGAGCTTTGTGCGTGAGCGCAAGCATCCTCCACTCGCGAAGGTCCATTTGCATGAGTGGAGGGAGTGTGTGCCTGCCACTCACGCAAATGGAGCTGTGTGTGTACACATGGCCTGCCATTCACACATTGTCATCCCCCGCTGGGCTGGGCTGCTAAGCTGGAAAGGTTTGGGACCTCTGTCCTGTAATATCTGATCCTGCAGGGATAGCACTTTCCAGGTTCCTTCAATTAAACACTCATTTATCAAGACTTGTGCCTTCTCTATAGCACCACCTGCTGCCTAGAATGAATTCTCCCCAAGTTTAATGAATTTTGGTTATCATTGTGAATATTCCATATTTTGTTCAACAGAATAACTGTCAAGGGGCAAAAATAATTATCAAATTATCCTGAAAATACTGTTCAAGTGCTTCTATGCAACAATCTTCTCTACACTCGCATGAAACTACAGTGTCTACTATTGTAGCTAATTGTTTCTCAACTGTAAATGATAAGGACCATAGCCCAGCATATTTGGAAAATGTACAATATAGTATAAAGGATGCCATAAAAAAATATGACTAATATTTTCATCTCCTTTAGTTGTACATCTCTATTTGTAATTGGAGGTTCACTGTGAATGTTTTTTTTTTCCTTTTAACCATCACCACAACATTGGCCAGCCAACTAGCTTGACCAAGATAAAGAGTGCCAAAAAGCATACTTTGTTTGCTGGGTGGAGAAAAACCACTGGCACCAGAATATAATCACATTGGGTCTAACCTTTCCAAAATCCCAGAAAAAAATAAATGTTCTTGCCTTATTTAAATGATCTTTAAAATTAACTGCTAGATTAGCATGCAGAGCCAACCTTACTATGAAGCAATATGAAGTAATTGCTTTAAACATGATTTTCCACTTTACTGCCTGAATCTTAGATTTTTATACTGTAATCTCAAAAATGAATAAAGAACAAATGTAATTTCAATGTTCAGATTTGAACATTGACCACCCCAACGATGCCCTTGAAGTGATGTTCCTGGAGGCCGTGCGGATCTGGATGGGGAGGAATAGGCTCAGGCTCAATCCATCCAAGACCGAGTGGCTGTGGTTTCCGACGTCCCGATATAGTCAGTTGGTGCCATTACTGACTATTGGGGGCGAATCATTGGCCCCCATGGAGAGGGCGCTCAACTTGGGCGTCCTCCTGGATTCATGGCTGTCTTTAGAAGAGCACTTGACAGCCGTGACCAGGAGGATTTTTCATCAGGTCCACCTGATTCGCCAGTTGCGTCCCTTTCTGGATTGGGACTCCTTATGCATGGTCACTCATGCCCTCGTCACCTCCCGCCTGGACTATTGTAATGCTCTCTACATGGGGCTCCCCTTGAGGAGTACCCGGAGGCTCCAACTGGCGCAGAGTGCAGCCGCGCGGGTGGTAATGGGAGCGACATGGTGCTCCCATGTAACACCCCTCCTGCGTGAGCTGCACTGGCTCCCGGTGGTCTTCCGGGTGCGCTTCAAGGTTTTGGTCACCACCTTTAAAGCGTTCCATGGCTCAGGACCGGGGTACTTGCGGGACCGCCTACTACCAATAGCCTCCCACCAGCCGGTACGCTCTCATAGAGAGGGGCTCCTCCGGGTGCTGTCGGCCAAACAATGTCGACTGGCGGCCCCCAGGGGGAGAGCCTTCTCTGTGGGGGCACCTACTATCTGGAACGAGCTCCCCCCAGAGATACGGAGGGTCCCGGATCTGCGCACCTTCCGCCGTGCTCTAAAGACCTTTTTATTTCACCAGGCGGGCCTGACCTAACTTTCTCCCTCTTTTTAAAATAATTTAAATATTTTAATATGTTTAATATTTTTAATCCTCAAAGTTTAAATTTGTTTCAAACTGACTGGGGTTTTAATCTGTCTGGGCCAAACTATTTAATTCGATTTTATTTCTGCTTTTTAAATTTTGTATCTATGTATTTTATTGTTGGCTGTTCACCGCCCTGAGTCCTTCGGGAGTAGGGCGGTATATAAATAAAATAAAAGTAAAGTAAAGTAAAGTAAAGTATAGATCTAAGGTCTACAATGCCTTCATTTGACTTGCCTTTCTTCTTCGTCTTCTGCATTGACCTCTAGAATTGTATACTGTATACTGCTACATCTATGTATGTTATCTTGACTTCAATACATAAATTGTTTCCTACTGATTTAATTTCCCAACATAACCTACAGAACTCAGATCTCTTAGTCTCACATACAAATACTAACAAAACCTGTCTTTATTTAGCTTTTTTCAATATAAGGTGGGTGTTGCAATCTGCTCTGTAGATGCTTTATAATATCTACCTCTCACTAACAATAAAAGCAGGCAGCGTGGTGGCTTAGTGGTTAAGATACTGGGCTTGTTGGCTGGAAACAGCAGCCCAGGTTTGAGACCTGAGCACCACACAACGTATGAACTTTCGTCCTCATCCCAGCTCCTGCACACCTAGCAATTTGAAAGCATGCAAATGTAAGTACGTAGATAGAAAGGTACCACTTTGGTGGAAAGATAACAGCGCTACATGAAAGGTAACAGCGCTCTGTCATGTCATGGCGACTACATGATATTGGAAATGTCTTCAAAGAGCGGTGGTTCAATGGCTTTGAAACACAGATGAGCTCCATCCCCTATAGTCGGCAACGACTAGAGGAATATAATTCGCAGGGACTCCTTTACCTTTTCTTTTCACTAACAATAAAGTGGGCTTCCTATAGAGGGCTTACCGGATGCTGCTGGTGGATCTGAAAAATTGCAGCTTGACTCAGAGGTTCTTTTTGTATTCTGGTCCTTTCCGTCAGATGAGTCACTTTGGTCTCCAATATTGTTTGCTGACCCATTTTGGTCTATAGAAGAAGATTCCAAACCACAGGTGCCTAGCAGAGAAGATCCATTTTCTTTTAAGGAATCTGCGGCATTGTCCAGTTTGTTAGGAGGTTGTCTACAAGATGAGCTGGCAAAGCTATGTTTTTCTTCAGACAATAGTAGGGAAGTACCAGCATCTTCAGTATCAACATCTCTCATCTTGGCACAAGTGAAATGATTACAAGAACTCTGCAGGTATTTATCTGAGGAAGCATGAATAGGGTCCAAGCAACAGCAGTGTACTAATTCCTCCAGATTTTCCGTTCCTGTGAAGAAGTAATTCAAGCTATCGTTCTCTCCCACTTCTAGCGGTTCAGAGAAGGGCGATGTCGGTTTGCTATCAGATTGGCTGACTAAAGGTAAGTAACATTGCCCATGGGATACTTTGTCCATGTATTCATCTTCCATAGGAATCTGTCTAAAGGAGTCGTCTTCAGAAATGGTAGTTAGAAACAATGCCGGGAAATTTTCCCTTGATCCGTAAAGTATTTTCTCAGGATCATCTTTTCCACTCAGGAGATGCTCACATGAGTAATGTACCTCATCAGGAAAGCAATATTTGTCAAGATCCAGCAAATAAGTCTCTCCCAAAAGCTGAAGGCCAGCAGGATGCGCTACATTTGTGTTTACAAATGTATCACAAGAAGAATCCTGCAAAGAAAAGAATATACCGTTTCCTATAGTAGTATTGATAATCTGTTAAGTAAACCCAGCAAACTGCAGACAAATTGCAACAATTTTTTTAAAAATTCCTATGGCTTAAAGCCAAGGGAGTCTTTGTGGTTTTTTGTTTCGTATACTTTCATCATTTCCTTTTGACCTTATGTCAACCAAACAGTTTTACAAATTACAACTTTATTTCACCACTTAAAGAGTTCTCCGACAAACGAAGATATCAGAATAGAGCAAACCAGGAAAAAACATGAAAAGCTATAAACATCCATAAAGCCTTAGAATTCACCTTTTTCCCTTTTATTTGGTGGCATATTTCCTGAGCCCAGTATTGTAAATCTGCTGGAGAGAAATATAGAAACAGTATTCAGTTAGAGTCTAGCATTTTCGCAGAATATTAGTGAACCACAAATGCAACTGTACACATTATGGCTAGCTGTTTTAAAAAATCTTTACAAAAACACTTATAAACATTCAATATTAAAGATAGGATTGAACTATTTATTCACAGTGAACCATCAGATTGAGACATATTATCATAATAGATATATAACATTAACTTTTCTCACAGAGTGAAGTGCATTTAAAGCATTAATTTCAATAGACTTGTACATTTGCTGTAATTGTGTTCACTGACTTAAAAGTAAGTGAAAAAGATGACACACCTATGCACAAATTAAGAAAGCTTGCATAATAATTCATTCTTAAATATTGTGGTGTCAATTTGTTTTTAAATATACTTTGCTAAAAATAGTTTGCTTTTGAAGGGTTTGTGGTAAAATGTGAGTTGCAAAATGATTCCCGATGCCCCCCTTCACTTTACAAATGGAAGATGTGTCTATCTTGACAATCTATCCATGACTAAAACAGAACATTCCATATCACTTGGGTCTTTGTTCCATATCATGTGCCATCAATTTATGACTGACTTGCTAATGACCTAGCTGTATGTGGGTGATTGGTTGGCTAGTCTGTTGCAAGGAATGTCACATGAATTATCAAAAGAACAATTGTATATATATATAGCACTAGGAAGAGTTGAAAAGAAAAAATAAACCAATTGAAGTGCTGCCATTAGCTTAGTTGAGGAAATGGGTTTCATGGGTTTACTGGGAAACGTATTCTACGGATTTGGTAATACATACATACATAATTGGATCGAAAAACTGCTTGCTTTTTATGTGGAAGAATGCATTTATTTATGTCTGTTGCTGAAAGAATATCATATACAGATTTAATTATTAGACTAAAAAAGTTAAGAGAATGATATTATAAAAATATCTTTCTCTTGCCTAAAATTCTAAATGATACATATAAATTTATCAAATTCAGAAACTACTATGCCTTGATTTGCTCTAGGAGCTACTAGTGTCCATCCCTTTTAGAGCAGGGGTGTCAAACTTGTGGTGTCACGTTGTAACATGTCGTATCATGACTTTTCCCCCTTTGCTAAAATAGGGGTGGGCTTGGCCAGCATGTGACTTATCCAGCCCATGGGCTGTGATTTTGACACTCCTGATTTAGAGGATTATTCTCAGAGAGCAGAAGCCACTTAACCTTGACTGACACTCAATTTTGAAATTGAATTGTTTCAGGTTGGCCCATAGCCTTAAATCAGCTCCCAATTCAGATGTGAAGCCATTTTGTCCAACTATATTTAGCTGCATCAAACCAGCCTCAAAATCCTATTTTCAGCTTCAGAAAATCTATTGCTGATGAGTGCGATGGAGACAAATAGCCCTGTTACAGCACTTTCTTAGGAGTCCTATTATTTCAGTGGAGGAAGCAAAGTGCAATTACTTGCAATTAAATCTTCCTTTGAAACAGATGTAAATGTTTGTGTGCCTGTCAGCCACCCTTCTAGAGTCTGACACACAAGATGATATAAATGTGAAGATCAAAGAACTGGGCAATACTTTCATAATTGCACGCTTCCATTTATTCCATTAATAAAGCACCTATGGGTATAGCACTTTTCATTTAATTTTGGCTCAAGAAATGGCTTCAGAGAGTTACTTCTCAAGTTGTAAGAGGGACAGAGTCCTTAGCTGTAGATCGGAGTTACACAATTGGCAGCCTTACTGTATGTGTCCTTCCCCCAATTTTTCATGCAACACAGACATTATTAAATACATAGACAGTAATCACAATCAACTCTATTTAATTTAAATTCTAACTTAAATATGTCAAACTTGGATTCTGTCCTGCCTGCAGCAACTTCTTTGCTCTGGCCTCACTTTTCCAGTTGCAGCTGCCAAGATACCACCCAAAAGCCATGTGTGACCTTCAGCCTAGAAAACATTGGACGCTCCTACATACCCTTAGATCACACGGGTACATTTGTGAAAACTGCAATGGACGTCTAAAAATTAGAACTAAAACGATATATAAAAAGAAAAGTGTAAAAAAGTAATCTGGCTTTTATAATAACCAGGTTAAGAGTTTTAAATAAAAATGTCTGTTAAATGTAGTTTTTATAATAATATAAGAAGTCATTAGGTATTACATACCTGTCAGAAGTTTTCCCTTACTTCGATAATATACAGTAAGGATAATTATAGCAGCCAAGGCAATGAGGAGGAGTGGAACAATCAATACATAAAATAATTTTTTGTTTTCTGGAAAATGAAAAACTGACAATGAATTAAAAAGTTTAGACTCAGGAAATATCACGTTGGATCTACTTTTTTAAAAAAACAAACCTATTTCTTAATCAAATAGTACAGGGAAACTTTGCAGTGGTTGACTATTAAATTTCACTGTCTTTCATTATTGAAAATAGAAATATTTTAAATAAAAAACAAAAGGACAAACTAGAAGCTGGTTATAGTTTACAGCATATGCAATTTTCAATCTATGCTTGCACTATTTGTGTCCTGCAAGATAATTCACACATACCCTATCCACATCTAAGATTAACTTTTATCCATGAATTTTCATGCTGGAAAAAGCAGACACAACATTAAGATATTTTGAAGGTATTGTGCATGGCCCACCTCATTTTGGAGTAAGTCATACTATAGTCCTGTCCCAAATAGCTGAGTTATAGTCACAGAAATAGTTCAAGTTGTTGATGATTATTTGATGAGAGTCCAACATATCTGAGTGCATGAGGGGCAGTAGAACAAGAATAGGCTCTATTCCATGTGCACATATATTATCCTAGTAGGCATCAGAGACTAGTTCCATAGAGAGAGGTTTTTTTCTGTGGACTGGAGGAGTTATGCTTTCATGTGCTGCCTGCATCCTGCAGATGGGGCTTCGCTTATTTGTGTGGCCTGGTTTCTGGCATGCCATCGATCAGTAACAGTCCATAGACTGGGGGTTGGGGACCCCTAGCATAGAAGATACTGAGACTTTATTGGTAGTCCATGCTTAATAATGGCAATTAGGATCATCGCTAAGCAACATAGCCAGGAAGCACAAAGTTATGTGACTGCACCGCTTAGTTTATTTATTTATTTATTTATTTATTTATTTGTTCAACTTCTATGCCTCCTTTCTCCGAAGACTTAGTGGCGACTCCAGCACTTCTTATTGTTAACCAAATTCCATGCCTTCATTAAGTGGGTTATCATGTGGTCATCTTTTGTAATCTGCTAGTTTCCCCATTGACTAACTTGTTGGAAGCTACGAGTTGTGAGCCAGTCACCAAGAGCCTGCAGGGATTTGGTAATAGCCCCAATTATGAGGACTGGCTATAAATGCCACTCATTCAGTGCTGTTGTAACTTTAAACAGTCACTGAACAAGTAGTTAAATGAACACTACCTGTAACTGAATCTTTAAAACTTACAATAACAGAATGGATAATAACATATAAATGTATTTCTTTGAAAAATTGAAGTTTTTCTTTATATCACAGCAGGACATAGATATTCCGAACATTGCTAAATAGCATTTAAGATATGAATTCTGAGAACCAGTGTGTTAACTAGTAAAGTTGTGGGTTATGTCTGTCCAATTTAACTTGGTTAAGTTTTTCCCTTTTTAGGCCTCTTGTATTCTGGTTAAAGTAGAACTGGGCAACCCATAAACCCAGCCCCAATTTTGTTAACCCAGAGAGCAGCCTTGGATTATATTGCCAAAAACTGGCAGAAAAAAAATATCAATTTCTGATAACAGTATTTTTTTATTTTGCATCTTTAAATCTTTGCAAACAAATATCTATGAGCAAATATCCACTATCTCAACCTGCCCACTACATAATCTGTTGCGGTTCCAATGATCTTCCTTTGATCAGCCTTTGTCAAGCATGAAAGATCAAATCCACACCTGCAAGTCCAATTAATTTATTTATCCAATTTTATTTATTTAATTTATTGATTTAATGCTAAATAGCCTATACATAGGAATCTTCTCAACTAATGGTTAACACCTGTTTGGAGTTAGGTAAGAGTGTAAAAAATTCAAAGGGGGTTGGACTTAAGTCTGCTTGTGTCTATGTAGAGATTCTAGGCTGAGCTCTCTTTTAACTCCACCTCCAGTTTCTGCCACTCCTCCTACATCATTATCCATTCCTCTCCATCTAGTTTATCCATTTTATTCCTCTTCTTCAACTTTCCTCAACTTTGCCAAACACAGTTATTATTTTTCTATGTTGTTTGCGGACATCCCATACTCAGATTCTCTGAGTTATGCTTGTTTATTTTTCCAGGCTGGGTATTTTCAGCATTTGTGTCAGATAATCCTGTAGCTACCAAAGATTGACCATGCTGGTCAGCTCTGAAGCACACTACAGGTAATCCTATGTACTCAGAAAGTCTTCCTGGCTGGAAAATTCCATCATGCTGTTGCTCAGTGCTGAAGTATCAAGGCTGCCAGAACATCCTTGGCATATCCTGAAGGTTGTTCAGGATGGGATGTATATTTCAGGCAATCCGTAAACCCTCTAACCTGGAAGCATTTCAACCTGCTCCTACAATACAAGAATGTTGTGGCTTCAGGCTACCCAAATTTCTTTACTGAGACAAATTGGATGGGCTGTCTGCCTTGACAATGCAATCACCTTATCTCAACAGCCCAAATTCCTTTGTTGAATAGGATCTCCATTACTTCATATAGGGCTGACTGACCTCCATTTCTCTTTATTTTGTCTCCTGCCCTAGGCAATTCTCATATAATCATTTATTATTAATCTAAAGTGGCCCATTGATGTCCACCAAATTCATTCATTTCATTTATGCATTTACAATTTCAAATTGTTCTTGGTTCATGCTTTTCATGTTACAATTGCAACATGTCCTTGTAAAACAAGAAATTGCTTTCAATACTGACACGATCAGTGATTAGATTTTCTTGGGTCTAGTCATGTCATTACATTCAGTTCTATTCACACGAATTCAATATAGTTCCCCAATAATTGGAAGAGTACGTTCCTGCTTCATATTCTCCTCATTTGGCACTTAAACTTTACTTTATATTTCAGGCATGCTCATATACATTTGTTGTCAAAATACCAAAGCAATTTGCCATTTCTTTTTTGGAGTTTGATTGTGGAGTTCCTACTTAATAGGCAAGTTGGCTTTCCTTATGCCACTAGAGTTCTCTACCTATCCTTAGCTCTTTTGTGGATTTTTATTAGTATCACTCTTACCTTTTGGAATTTTATTTATTTGGAATGATTAGCTACCCAACTCCAATTCAACTCTTACCAGCAATGAAACCCTACCAGGAGCTTCTGCTAACATCACTCATAGCATTACTAAAGCTATTGAGCAGTTCACCATATCATGGGATGAAACCAAAATAAAAGGTAACTTTAATTATAGAAATGTCAGAAAATCTTAAAATAATATTACTGTTCAGTTGGTGCTTTCGTATTTACCATCTTCTGAATGTGTTTTCTCTTGTATCTTACAAACTGCATCAGACCAATTATTCCCAGGAATCTTTTCCTCTGTTCCCAAAGCTGTGCAACTAAATTAAATAAAATGGAAAGTGATAAATTATATTGTTTTTGGATGAGACATGCTAATAAAGTAATGTACGTTTTGGAGAACATACTAATAGCATAAAGAGGTAGTGAGGCAATGTTTAATGCAATGACATTCATACCTCATACTGTATTTCCTTTAGTAAATTTTTGTGTTCTTTAGATATGATAGACTCCTGCCAGCCTATAAGGTGGACCAGATCAAGAAACCAATTCCACGCAAGACTAGAATTATATTAAAATACCGTAGGCTGTAATAAGAGAATATTATAAGCCTGATTATACTTTACTTCCCCTCCCTTTTACATTCCAGTGAACTAGGGAGAATCCTACATGATATTTTCCAAATACTATCTTGTTTCCCAGGTTTTAAGGAATGTTTTAACCCTCTTTGCTTATATATGATAATTCTTCCTTATTTCCCCCAGAGTCACCTGGACTCTCTATAATCTCTCCCATAATTCCCCACCACATGGGAATGGTATGGTATATCAGGCTATCTGATCTGGAGAGAAGCAGACTGTAGAAGGCTGACATTGATATTATAAAAGAGGAAAAAGAAAGCCAATTTCATGTATAATATTTAATATCTAATGAAGTTCAAAACCAAATTTGTAAATATTTATTCCTACATTGTTTAATCCTGTTAGTCTCATATGGGACTGTGAGAATTAATGATCAGTAAGGAGGCCTGTTGATTTTCTACAGCAAGCCAATGATTGCATTTGCATATATGGATGCAACACTATGCCTGAATTTTTAAAGCAAGTTTTGTTGAACCAGGTTATCATGACATATCACACAGTAACATTATGTCATAACAGATGGGTTTACAATAAATTGCATTATGGTGATCCCTAATTGCTACTCAGATAAAACAATTTAAAAAATAGTTCAATTTTTTAAGGGTAGTTCTTATTTATATTACCTTATATCAGAGTTCCCCAACCTTTCTGACTTTGTAGACTGGTGGGGGGAGGGGGGATGGTTCCGCGCAAGTGGCCAGCAAGTGAGCGCACAGCTCCTTTTGTGCAAGTGGTGTGCATGCACACCCGTTGCTCACTTAAATGGAGTGTGCACGTGCACTTGCCTGCTGCTTGCGCAAATGAGGATGCACATGCACATCCATGCTCACCGGCAGTTTCTGCAGCCTGGTTGCAAACCCCTCATGGCCCACTAGTCGGCCGCGGCCCACAGGTTAGGGACCCCTGACTTAAATGGTCTTTTCATACTTAAACAAACAATTAATTTTTCAATTTATTCATTTCATGTTAACTAATGAAATGAAAGGAATGGAAGAGAAATGAATTTCCTTAATTTCAAAGAGTAAACAATATTCCTACTTCCTTTTTGTTTCATGATCTATTTCTCATTTTCCTCTTGCTGTATTTCTCACCCTCAGCTATTTTAAGAGATGTGGACTTTTATCTCCCAAGGAATTCTGGGAGATGAAATCTCTACATGGTAAAGTTGCTGAGGAGGAAAAACTCTGCCTACTGCAGGTCTCAATTTTAGATAAAACACAAATACTTAAGAATTGGTGCTGAGAAAAGGAGCAAACGCAGCTATTATTACAAAATTAAAGCAATTTTAATATGAATATGTTCATGCCACTAAATATGCATGATCAAATAAGTGAGGATTTCTAGATTCTAATGTTCCGAGGCTAATTACTGGCAATGACAAATTATTTCATTTTCTGCAACGAACATCAGTGTTTCTAAATACAGTACAACACAGACATCCAAAGATTTCCTTTGTGTCTTTCCTAGTGCACTGTTAAATGTATATGAAACTTACTTTGTCCAGGCTTTGCATGCATCAGTTGCAGAGGAGACATTAGAAAAATAACCAGTGGGACATGGTACGCACACTGTATTCTTATCTTGCTGTACTGTGGAAATATAACAACACGCTGAGCAGAGCACCACTTCTCTGAAAAGCATCACTTGAAAACAATTTGCTGATAACCAAATATTTAAGATGTATTTTTGCACACACTGAAGTGTTACTATTTAGAACACTTCAGCCTTTTTGATTATTTGTTTATTGGATAAAAAACTGGTTTTTAAATGTTTCAAGGCATTGGAAACAAGCACACTGATTATTTTTGCATATAAGCAGGTTCATATACATACAGATATATACCTACACTTTCATGCTATTATAATACCAAGAATGTGCTAAATAACCAACATGATGTTTAAGTATTATTTCTACACACTATTCCTCCCATGATAAAACTGTTAACTAACAATCAGACAAAATAATAATAATAAAAAGATATAACATTATAAGATTAATTGAGGCATATCACCCAGGACTGAAATTTACCCCAATTTCAGTGGCATAATTCTACATATCTAATATTAAGCAATGTGGAAGAAAACCACATCTTTCCAAGAAGTTTCATTAACAGGACACCTCCACTGTCAATCCAGCTCATCAGTAGTACGTACATTCAGCAGGGTTGACAAATAAAATAAAACTTTCAGAGATGTTAATTTAAATCTTACCGGGAAATTTCACTCCAGAACCAGGTGAGCATTTTGTGTTTCGCCGACAACAATCACAGTCACTGTTCCAATGGTAGCCAGCAGTACAGGCACATTGTCTTTGGAATGTGCTGTTTCCTGGAATCACTTCTATTAAAGCTTTTCCTTTAAATGCAAAAAAGGGGAAAGCAGGTGGAAATGAAAGTTGACATAAAGTTTGTATCATAACAGACACACAAGTGAGCATTCTTTTCAAGTGAGGCAATGTTGCTGCTTGCATAATGTACAGATTTCCTCATTCATGACCGATTCTGAATGCTGCCTGTTGCAATTCAAAGTGATATACCAGGAATAAGTATTAGCTGCTATGTCAAGTATTAAGCAATAATAAACATTCAATATGTCAATCAATCGTACCGTAAATGAAACTATAGGGAAACAAGTAAATATGTGGTAAGTGGTGAGAATAGAAGAGAGTCTTATGGGAAAAATTGAGTGTTCATGGTCTAGAATTCAATGTCACAGTTGATCATGATGTTGCTCAATGTTGTAGGAGGTTATAAGGGTCACACAAGAAATCTCTTTATGGAGGCTAAAGGGATGATTTAAATAGAGATGTCCTTTTTCTTGTAGAATTTCAACTAAGGTGCCTAAACGAACTCAAGTAATACCCACCTTTTGCTTGCCTTTCTAAGAAAGGCATCCTTACCTAATTTTTAAAAAAATCACAATATAGTTATAGTAGTGGTGAAATCCAAATTTTTTTTACTCCCGGTTCTGTGGGCGTGGCTTGGTGGGCGTGGTGTGGCTTGGTGGGCATGGCAGGAGAAGGATACTGCAAAATTTCCATTCCCACCCCACTCTGGGGCCAGCCAGAGGTGGCATTTGCTGGTTCTCTGAACTATTCAAAATTGCCGCTACCGGTTCTCCGAACTACTCAAAATTTCCATTACTGGTTCTCCAGAACCTATCAGAACCTGCTGGATTTCACCCCTGAGTTATAGTCTTGTATTTTGAAGCTGATAAGTGTCCTTGAATTAAGGGCTGATGAAGAACATTCTACAGCAGGGATCCCCAACAAACCCTGGGTCATGGACTGGCACTGGGCCACGGTATGCCAGAAACAAAATTGCACAAACAAGTGAAGCCCATTCTGCGGGATGCAGTCAGCACACGTAACCATGCCCCCTCCAGTCCGTGGAAAAACCTCTCTCCATGGAACCAGTTCCTGGTGCTCAAAAGGTTGGGGGCCACTGTTCTACAGAACTAAAGGGTATAGCAAAAAGCCAAGTTCTTTCTTTCTGTTTTGCTGTATGTTTTGCTTTGGTGAGATATACTGTATGTGTCTATGCTCAGCTCGTGGAATGCTTGTGTCTTTGTGTTGAATATTTCACTATCGGCCCAAATCAATCCATTTCAGGATGATTTGAAGAGGTTCTTATGGAAAAACTGAATGTTCCTGGTTTACTGCAGAAAAAATGGACTAAAATTGAATGTCACAGCTGAGCATGATGTTGTTTAATGTTATAGGAGGTTGTCCATAATGTTATGGATCTCTTCATTGAAGGTTATGTATTGTAATTTACCAGTGGTCCAGTACATGATAGATGTTTTCAACTTCTCAGTCAAGGGTTAAGAGAATCTAACTGACCCAAACTCAGGATTGGAACCTGGGTCCAAAGATAGGATCTTAACTTTGATGTTCAAATCCCATCTTTTACATACAGTACCTTGACTATATTATTTATCTCAGACCTCATCATACCTCAGATATTCAGACCTCAGATATTCGTGTTTTGGGACAGGCCACGCTTATGGCAAGATTCTTGTCATCTAAGCAGTCATTTTGTGAGAGTTGTCCTGACATCCTAAGAGATTTTGATTAAAGCTCAAAAAGATTTTGGGACCCCTGTTCTATTGCATATCCCTCTTTTGCACCTCTGCCAACTCAAAATAAAAGTCTTCATCTGCTCTCCTAAAAGTCATCTCCCTGACAAATGAGAAGCAATATAACAGTCCATGTGTTTCCCTTACCTCTATCACATATTTTATGAAGAAAGCACTTTTCCTCTTCATTCCAGATGTCCATATACTCGTTTGAGCCACAGGGTTTGCATACAGTCTCTGAAAAGGCAGTGCATTTTTTGACCATGTACTTTCCTGAGAAGAACAACAGAAAAGAGTGATGAAATGTTAAATACTTCAGAATTAGCAATATTGGCTCTCTCAGGCCTACATGGATCACCTTAGGGGAGTCAGCACATGGCAAAATATGGCCAATTATGACTGAATTAGTGGGCTGAACAACCAAAACAAATTATAATGCCATCAGTTTAGATGCTTATTACATTATCAGAATCAAACACTTGGTTAATCAAATTGATTTAACAACAGAATTGGACATTTCATAGTGAAGCATGTAGTTAGCTTGGATATGAGGTACTAAACAATCACTGTCTATGTAAAACATGGAATTTCAAGATGTTTTTAATGTACAATCCCACTGCCTTATGCGCGAGAATTTATACAGTAGATTGCTCAGTTATTGTTTTCCATTTGTAATACAGGTAGTCCTCGACTTACAACAGTTCACTTAGTGACCGTTCAAAGTTGCAACAGCACTGAAAAAGTGACTTATGACTATTTTTCACAGTTATGACCGCTGCTGCATTCCCACAGTGATGTGATCAAAATTCAGATGCTTTGCAACTGGTTCATATTTTTGACGGTTGCAACGGCTTGGAATCATGTGATCAGTTTTTTTGCTTCTGACAAGCAATGTCAATGGAAAAGCCAGATTCACTTAACAACCATGTTACTAATTTAACAACTGAAGTAATGACTGTGGCGAAAAAAATAGTAAAATGGGACAAAACTCACTTAACAAATGTTTCACTTAGCAATATAAATTTTGGGCTAAATGTGGTTGTAAATTGAGGACTACCTGTATTCCCACATTTTCCCATTATTTTTATTTCAAAATTTCAGAGAAAAGGAAGAAATAAGCACACAATGGCTTTTCATATTATAACAGAATCTGCCTGGAAGCACCACAAGTTTTTCAAGTTCTTTCTTGAAGGCATCTTCTGATTGGTTTTAAATGCTGAAGCTATGATTCATTCTCTTTAAATAGTTTATGTGATTCAGAAGCACTGTCTGTTCTGAGCATGACCACCTAGGAGGAAATTGTTCAAAATGAGTTCAGAAAATTTCTTTCTAAACTGATTTATCCTTTGAGACTCAAGGTTTTCCCAACTGCTGTGTAGAACCCATATTCCTAAATATCAGTGCAGGAGACATTGCATTGATAAATTAACCAATGCAGAATACACAGCCTGAGGAGATAACTGGCAAACACAGTTCTGAGTAGCCTCTACATTTTCCTTCAAATAAAAAAAGTTATTTTAAAATTTTTATTTTTTAATCAGGAATATAAATCTCTGTTAGTTATCTCAATAGGTAAACATTCTACAATTTCCCTTTTCAAATCACCCTGCCAGATTCAACCTGCATATAATGAGATACCGGTAATACTCAGCTAGTTACTATACAGATTCCTGATTTTATGAGGAAAAATTGTCTGAATGTGGGTACAAAATTTGTGGGCTAAGGATTCTATTTTGCCCTCAAGTGGAGCTCTCCCCATACTCAAATTACCTCAAAGATTTCACTTTACTATATTGGAGTGGAAAGGATTACATACTCCTATAATAATGCTACTAACTACATCTAATTAATTTTAAACATATACAGGTAATCCTCGACGTACGACCACAATTCAATTCAGAATTTTGGTCCTAAGTAATTGTGGTCATCAATGACCTGACACAAAATTACAACTATTCTTGGAGTCATTAAGCAAATCACATGGTTATTTGGTGAGCCATGTAGTCATTAAGCAAATCCAACATATCCAATGGGTGTTTTTATTGGAAAAACAGCAAAAAAATCATAAATTGGGATAATGTGTCTGCAAGACTCTGCAATCAGTTATAAATGCAAGACAGTTGCCAAATGTCTGAAATGTGACCACCTTACGTGTGTATGTTTGCTTGTGTGTAGGAGTCATAACTTCAAGGACAAGTCATAGGTAGTTGTTTTTGAAGTCTGTGGTAATTTCAAACAGTTGTTATACAACAGCGTGGACTGTTGTATAAGTTAGGACTGCTTGTAACTCACTCTTTGAATTTTTGCTCCACAGCTCGCCATTTAAAATCCAAGTGTGGGTTTTACCCTAAAAATGTTTGCACCAGTGGTGGGTTTCAAAATTTTATATTACCGGTTCTGTGGGCGTGGCTTGGTGGGCGTGGCATAGCTTGGTGGGCATGGCAGGAGAAGAATACTGTAAAATCTCCATTCCCTCCCCACTCCAGGGGAAGGTTACTGCAAAATCCCCATTTCCTCCTGATCAGCTGGAACTCGGGAGGCAGAGAATAGATGTGGGCAGGGCCAGTCAGAAGTGGTATTTACCGGTTTTCCAAACTACTCAAAATTTCCGCTACTGGTTCTCCAGAACTGGTCAGAACCTGCTGAAACCCATCTCTGGTTTGCACAGTTCTGCTCTTGAGAAACATAAAGTGTTATAAGAATGCAATTCACCCTCTCCCTAATGAGACATCAGATTTAAAAATAATAACAATAATAATGAGATTATTCTTTTACTTAAAAATCAATTTTGACTTAGGTGTGAGAAAATTGTTGTTAGCGTATTACCTGGTTCACATTTGTTGCAGCATCGGCCAGAATATTCATAATGTTGCTCACTGCTACAGGAAGGCTTGACTTGTAAGTACAACTGAAGGACAGAACAGAACAGTAATAATACTTTAGTTGCTTTTAGTTTAAGACATCTTTCAAGGATACCCAAGTTTTATTTCCGATTGTGTTTAAAAAATACATTTATATCATTACAATGACACCGGTCTTCGTTAATTTGGTACTCTTCAGGTATGTTGTACAATGATTTCCACTGTATTCCCAATTAGGGGAATAGATGTTATAAATCAACATTTCAGAAGAGCGCAAATTTAGAAACAGCTGTACAGATAGTCCTTGTTTAGCGATTGCCTCGTATAGCAACTGTTTGTAGTTAAATGATATTGAAAAAGATTTCAATTAATAGTCATATTTATGATCTTCACATCTTTCTCTCTCATATATTTGCCATATTCCCTAGTTTACACCCCTGCTGTAAAGCAAAGGAAAGCTGAAGTAAAATTGTAAGCACACTTGTAGTCCTGCGATTTTTCACTTAGCAACTGAGGTGTCAATTCCAATTTTGGTTGCTAAACAAGGACTACCTTTATATGAATATATATAACTGATGATTTGTAACTACTTTTGGACCTATTTTCTGTCTTTATGTTTAGGTTTACCATATCTGGGTGGCTAAAATCCAAGTAAATACTAGATGGCAGCAAAGAGAAACAGTAAACTCTCTTTGCTGCTGTTTACAGGTCATCCAAATTTTTGTAGCTGGATTTATATCCTTTTTGGCTCCTATTCTTCCTGGCCTGCTATTTTAGGTAATTCCATATAAGACAGGGGTGTCAAACTCGCAGCATCCCATGACATATCGGGACTTTTTTCCCCTTCGCTAAGGCATGGGTGTGGCCAGCACGTGACTCATCCAGCCTGCGGCCGTGAGTTTGACAGCCCTGATATAAGGTGTTAATATTAAGGCAATCTGCTTGCATTAAGAAAAGTAATATAACTGCATAGTGAATATAGAGAAGTTAAACTAATAGCTATGGTCATATGAAGAATGGGCAGAAAAAGTGAGAAAACACATATCACAATGTTGTGTCACAACCTAACTGTAGTAGCCCAAGATAGATTAAAGACCTTAAAAACCTAGAGGGTTTTTAAAAAGTAGCATTTTCAAAACATATTTGTTTTATCTTTGTATTATGTCTTTAGTCAATCACTTTTTGAAATACTACACAAAAACTTGAATTACCACTTTGCTGGACATATGGCATGATGCTTCTATTATACACATCTATCTTTTTATCTAAATTATGTTCACACTGGGGAGAAAATATAAAAAAAGGTTCTTCTGACAGTTTCTGCTTGAAAATTGAAAATATACAGTTCTTTTAAGTAGATTAAATCAGTATTAATACATGCTTCATAGAGTTTCATTTCATCAGAAGATAATGCAAGGGAGATGGGGAATTTCCCAATTTTCAGAAGTTATAATCCACTCCCTTCTAACCATGATAATTAATCAACTATATTTGTGATACTTTGCAGTAGTAATCTGGAACTGTTTGAACAATTTACTCAAATAGTCACACCATGAATGTACCTGGACTTGGTTAAAAACTAATATACAAATGTAATCAACAAATAAGGCAACTCCTTAGCAATATTTATAACGTAACAAAATAGATCTAATTTTATTGAAGCCTTGGCAAACAATCTTGGCAAACTCTGCAGAGGGGCTCAGTTGTGTAACTTTCCCCTTTCCTGAATACAGAGTTTACATACACAAGGGGCTCCACAATCTCAGTAGACTCTCACAAAAATAGTAATTCCAGATTTCAAATCTAGGAACATAATTGAAGTTTGTATAGTCATTCCTAATCTTCCTCCCTACGCACCTCAATGCTCCATTACTGGAGATTGTCCTGAGATGGTATGAAAATCCCTCCCTGGGCCCTATAATTTTCAACATAGAAATGGAGCATAGTGAAGTGTGATTCTAGTCAGTGAATAGGAGTTGGAGGAAACAAGATTTTATTTCATAGATATTTTTTAGAAACCAGGATGATATCAAAACAACAACACATGGACAATAAACAAATGATAAAATGATGTAACCATGTCATATCATACTGTAGAGCAGGGGTGTCAAACTCAAGGCCCGGGGGCAGGATTTGGCCTGTGGGTACTTAGATTTGACCCACGGGGCTGGCCTGGGAACAGTGAAGGACCAGCCCACTGTGCTTCTCCCAGTGAAAATGGAGCTCAGGAAGGCCGCACATGGCCCTCCTAAGCTCCATTTTCACTGGCAGAGGGTTGCAGGAGGCTATTGCAGCCGAAAACGGAGCTCAGGAGCCTGTTTTTGCTGGCAGTGTGTTCGGGCCACCACAAATGCCCCCCGACACAAGTGATGTTGAGATGTTCAGTGTCCCAGGGTCATGTGATCATCTTCTGACAAGCCAAGTCAATGGGGAAGCCAGATTCACTGAGCAACCATATTACTAACTTAGCAACTGTCGTGATTCCCTTAACAACTGTGGCCAGAAAGGTAGTTAATGGGGCAAAATTCACTTAGCAACTGTCTCACTTAGCAACAGAAGTATTGGACACAATTGTGCCCATAAGTCAAGAACTATCTGTAACTATATAATTTCTACAACAGTTAGCTAGACAAAGGATTTATTATTAAGAAAAGTAGTTATTATTTAAGAAAACAGTTGAATTTATTCTGATGAGATTACCTAGTTTGGTAATGAAATGTTTTCAAGAAATCTACCAAGCTTGGATAGTACTACTAAGGACCCCATATTTTATTATTTATAATTAAACTCAGCTCAATTTCTAAAGAACAAATGGCAGACAAAAAAATATTCAATGCAACAATTCAGTAGAAAAGGGGCTAAGGAAGCATACGCTGTCATGGATATTCGATCCAACATAAATCTATTCAAGTTATATCAATAGGACAAAGCTGTGCCCCATTACAATGTGGTGGCATATCAAGCTGAGCCTTATTTTTCTGGATATCCCAATTGATTTACCACTATTAGGATTAATTAAGCATATTTCACCTGTTTTATGCAATAAATGATTTGCAATAAGATATGCAATCATCCTAGGGAAATTTTAAAACAAAGTCAGTAAAATAGCAATAAAACAATTGTATCTTCAGTACATACGTTCATCATATCCAGGCAAACGGGTAGGAAGCTGTCACAAATAGCTGCAGCACCCACAGAGAAAACATGTCTCCAAATTCTCAAAAGATGACAATGTTAAGAGAAAGAGAATGGAGCATGCCTACCCTACCCTATCCAACTTAAGAGATACTCTTAAGAGAGAGGAAGTCTTGCAAGTCATGCACACTTTTTTTACTCAAGAAATGGGTACTTACAAAGTTCGCATTCATAAAATGTGGTTTGAAAAAAAATCATGCTTTGTTCAGTCTGAAAGTTCCTCTTTATTGGAGAGATTTAACAATGACTTAGAGGTAAACAAGGGCAAAGTCCTTTACTTTAAGGAACAATTTGCAAAACTCCAAAGAACACAGAGTCAAATTGTAAAGAGTATCAGAAAACCTAAGCACACTCAAACCAGTTTCTTTTTTTCTTTTTTCTTTTTTTTTTGTATTATAGTAACTCATAACCTATTCTCCAAACTTTTGTAGCAAAAGGAAGTCTTGTTGCTACATGTTTTAAACTACCCTCCACCTTCTTTGAAGATAAGTTTTTGTATAACAAATTCGTTTACTTCCTTGATAGACAGTCCACAATAAAGCGATAAAAAGACTATTTTCACTTTTATTATGATGTACAACCAGACCCACCCCAAAAAACCCAACCCTTGCCACTTACTTATCTTAAATGAGTTTATTGCTGGACTTTTAATGTTTTAATGTATAACACAGTACATAAGTACACTAATGCATTGCAGTATAAATATTTATAACCAGGATAAAGTCGCATTAATTCAGTGGGATATCTCCAGTTTAAGCATGCACAAAATTGCAGTTTTCACTTCTAAACCAAATGTATTTTTTTTTTCCCTCTGCAAGAAATGCTTCAGTTCAGCTTTATTTAGCATCGGGTATAAAAAATAAGCCCTCCCCCAAAATAAGTCCTCCCTGAAAATATTTAACCACGTGCGCAGCCGGTCCCCGCCACTTCCTCTGGTTAGGGTTAGGGAGACAGAGCTGGAAATCAGGTAAGACGGCAAGAGGAATCTTGTCTTGTTCCACATGCCCCAAAATAATAAGACCTTCCCAAAAATAAGGCCAAGCACTTATTTCGGGGTTCAAAAAATATAAGACAGGGTCTTATTTTTGGGGAAACATGGTATTAAAAATTATTGTCATGTGACAAAGCAAAGAAATTTTGGAGTAAGATTCATATTTTAATACAGAAAATTCTTAAGATGAAGATGAAGATGAAACCAGAAACTTTTCTTTTGGGTTTAATGGAAAAAGACTTGGGAAAAAAATTGGAACTTTTATCTTACAGTATATGTTGACAGGATTAAGACTACTGTACGCACAAAAATGGAAGGACATTTCGATTCCCACCTTGGACGAATGGCTACAGAAGCTGATTGTGTTGCCAGAAATGGCTAAATTGACCGTTTTGATCAAAGAAAAAAATATAAGTATTGTTGGAAGAAATGTCCATTTGGGTTCAGTTCCAAGTGGAAAGAAAGACACTGGAAATATGTAGACTCTTGACAGATGGTTTAATGGTGGACAGGACCACATGGTTTGAGGTCCTGGACAAAAAGAGCACATGGGTGAAAGAGGGAGAGAGATTTATACCGTCTCTTGGGCCCTGCCTTGTAGCTTCCTGTTTCTGTGTAAGAAATGTATTCTGATTGGTTGTCAGACTCCCATGGGGCCATGCAAGGGTAACTTTGTAGATTGTCTTGAGTGGCAGGCTTGGTTGAATCTTGCGGGGTGATGAGGTAATGAAGCTAATCCTATCATGTCCTGAGGGTGAAGGTCTTAACCCCATCACCCTGGAGCTGAAATGAGAGGGAGGTGCAAGGAGCTGCTTTGTCTTTAAAAACATGTTTCTCCTTTAGGGAAAGTATAATATTCTG